TTTTTTTTTTTTTTTGAGACAGGCTGTCACTCTGTCACTCAAGTTAGAGTGCAGTGGCGCAATCACAGCTCACTGCAGCCTTGACCTTGCAGGCTCAGGTGATACTTCCACCTCAGCCTCTGGAGTAGCTAGGACTACAGGCACATGCCACCATGCCCAGATAATTTTTTGTATGCTTTTTGTAGAGACACGGTTTTGCCATATTGTTCAGGCTGATCTCAAACTCCTGGGCTCAAGTGATCCAACTGCGTCGGCCTCCCAAAGTGCTGGGATTACAGGCGTGAGCCACCGCGCCTCGCCCCTGTTCAGGAGTTTGAGACTGTAGTGTGTGATGATTGAGTCAGTGAATAGCTACTGCACTCCAGCCTGGGTAACATAGTGAGACCCTGTCTCTTAAAACAATCAATCAAATATTTATATTAGCTGAAAATTCAGCATGACAGTAATTATGAGTAATGTATATTTTAAAATATTTTTAAAAATTAATCCTGAATTTAAATACTGTATTTGTACTTTCTCTTCAAATTATTATTTATTGATCAACACAGCCTGAGAAAAAGTCACAGAATAATCATATGGTTTTTTTCTTGTTTTTTTAGTCCATTACATTTTAGAGAGACATAAACTGATACAATTTTGATGTATATAGATTTTCATGATTGGAATACTTTTTCAGTGAAATTTTTGACCAGTACATGGTTAATTATTTGTTAGAGTCAATTATAGCATACTTGGAATTTATTACTCATACAAAGAATCAACACATTACATGCTAGATATAAAATTTATTTGATGTCTTTTGAATTACAGATGTGAGGTCATGTTCCTCAGTAGGTATGTTGATCACTAGGAGATGCATTCTGTTGACATTATAGGTATGAGACTTCTAATCAGTTGCATTTATCCCAAGATCAGGTCTAGATAAGGAGAAAAGTTAGTTTTTCTCTTATTCTCATAATTCAAAAAGTTTATCAGATTTCATCTCGGGCCATACATGAATTATGCAGGATTCTAATAATAGGGGCAGGATATGTACTATTTACTAAAGGACAGATGTACAAAAGCATTATATAAGCCACAGAAGATGTCCTTGATAAAAAAACATAGTGAGGAACTTTAAAACTCAAGCATTGAATGTTTGTTTAACTTGCTATCTGCAGCAGTGGTCGTAAGCCTTCCCCCTCGGTGCAGGTTTTTCGGAAATAGAAAAAACATTTAAGTGATAGATTGTATATTGAATTGTCTATAACTGATACTTCTTGGTCTTCAGTCCACTTTCAGAAAGAACGTTCATATGCTGTGTGTGCGCTATAATTTTGTTACTTTATTTTTATTTTAATAATTCAGAAGGCAGGGCCAGGTGCAGTTGCTCACGCTTGTAATCCCAGCACTTTGGGAGGCTGAGGTGAGCAGGTCACTTGGGGCCAGGAATTCAAGACCAGCCTGGCCAACATGGCAAAATCCTGTCTTAACTAAAAATACAAAAATTAGCCAGACATGGGGGCGTGTGCCTGTAGTCCCAGCTACTTGGGAGGCTGAGGCAGGAGAATCACTTGAACCCAGGAGGCGGAGGTTTACATCACACCACTGCACTCCAGTCTGGGCAACAGAGTAAGATTCTATCTTAAAAAAAAAAAAAAAAAAAAAAAAAACAGAAGGCAGTGTCACACTTAAAAGG